AATTTCAGTAGTTGAGATGATGAGTCAATTGAAGTTAGACCACCATGAAAAACCTGGAAGCACTGGACGGCCTTTTCGTCCTATTGTGGGACTCTTCAGCAGTGCACATCCACGATCCTGCCTTGCGTGACTCGAACCCAAGACTTATCAGTCTCACACGCGAGCGCTTAACCACTAGACCACTGAGCCGGCCGGCATCCAACGGTGTTAATATCTAAATTCAACTAATTCACGAAATTGAGCCACCGTCCACCAGTGTATTAAGTGAGTTACTACCTCACAACAGACCTGGTTGAACTCCACTGGTCACTGCTTCTCACTAGAACTCCACGAACATACCTCTTGAAGTCAGTGATTAGTGAGCATATATTAATTAGTATCAGGACAAAATGGCCATCTAGTGCTTCATATTCATATTCTTTACTGAATTTTAATCATTCTATTCAATCTATGTGAATTACCTTCATATAGTTATTAAATCAGAAGTATTACAAACAAGGTTGAATAATAGTTGACAATGAAATCCCATAAGAACATTTTGTTCAAATTTAGAACTTATCATCTTGAAGTATATGTTACTTTCCATAGTTAACAATCATTTCGCTACTTAAATATATTATCCATCTAGATAATCAAATACCGAATTCTATGTATCTCAACTAAGTTAAATACTTACAATATAAATTACTATAGCAACACATTACATGAAGTTTATTTTCAAACAAACGAATCAATAATATATGACATAATAATTCTTTTTTAAAACTAAATATGATGAATAATTTTAATTTCTGCAATGTTTTTCTGTTGTTGTTGTGTGGATTGTAATCATGGTAATTGTTGTTGTAATTTGATATACTACCAATGTTTATAGTGTAATAAATGTTGTTCCTTATTTAATACTAGAGAAAAAATACATATCTATGTACATAGGTGTGTAATAAACAATTTGAAATGGATTAAGATTAACATATGAGAAAGTTATTAAAACAACAACAACAAGAACAACATCAACAACAACGGCTTAACTATTTCAAAACATTCATGAAGAGATAGCTCTGATTGGGTTAAGATTATCTACAGCAGCAATAGCAATTTAGAAGACTCTCCCGATCTCCCACATTCTATGAGCATTTCATATACCTGTAGTTGTCAGAAGTGGCATCAGCCTTGTGGCTTCTGAAGGAACTTAGCTTTCACCATGAGGCGTCATAACTCTTCTAAATAAAGACCTTCTAACTCCCAGAGTAGAGTTTAAATGGTTTGAATAATTTTTGCTGGTTATCGTTTTTTAGTGAGTTAGTTTTCTGCAGGATAAGGTCGCTAGCCCTATGCTCAACTCTCCTCCTTTATCCGGGTTTGTGACCAGCAGTAGTCCCAGAGGGGCTCCAGGCGGAGTTTAAGTTTATCTACAACATTCTAAATGTTTAAAATGTGTATTGTATTCAATACTTTCAAGTGTTTATTTTTCTTCTATTTAGTGATTGAGTACTATATACTGGAGTATAATTTTCATTGAAGATATCCCAGCTTAAATAATATTCATTGTTGTGTGTGTGTTTTGTTTTAATCCTGAATATTTGACTGTGGAAAACTAACAGATGTTTTTCGTCATGTTAATTCAGCTATCTAGTGTAGATATATATATTAACCGGTTGTCCGAATCAAGTTAAATAGGGCAAGGTTCAAATGTGTGACATAGTGGTTGAAAGTTAAACATCCTAACCACTGAGTAACCGTTTATAGGCTACAATTGTAGATAACTCCAAAGGAACGTAATGAAATATTTCGCCAGAATAATACTTCAATATAAAGCACTTACAAACTAGATGAAATCGAAAAAATGAATACAACCCGTTTATTGTATTATGCAAATGTTATGAGTCACTTACTTACACTTACATTTTATAAGCTTAGGGTTGTTGAGATTATTGGGTTAAAATTGATATCATGGATGGATCGGTGTTAGATCGCCATTGAAAAACTGGAAACACTGAGCGGCCGTTTCGTCCCAGTATGGGACTCCTCGACATTACGCATTTCAATCAAATCTTAACAATCTCCACAACTTTATGTTGGTAATTTCTAATGACTAAAATTTTCAAAAGAAATGAATGTCTTAATATTTAATTTCATATAGACTATATTAACTTAATAAGATGTGTATAACTTGAATTAGCGCTGAATTCTTTGAATTAAAAACGCTAATCAATCCAACACCAGTCTTTGTTAGTATCTGTACGAGGAGGGGTAGCGACTGTGGCTATCATTGTCTTTTACAGTTCACATTATAGACTAACTTTAATTAGATGACTATTGAAAACCTGGTTGCCATAAACCGCTGTTTCGTTCAAACATATATAACTCTCCAGTAGTATGTGTCTACTATATCAACTAGGGTAGAATCCAATCATTCCAGATATGGAGGTATTAACGCTTAAACTTTTAACAGCTATCAATTCATGACATAGTGTAATGATTATGCAATACAATTGATGACAAATATTTCACCCTTCCAACACGTGACTAAATTCCATTAATCAAGAATGAAGAATTTAAATTCATGAAGGAGTACTGTTGAGAAGTTCGATAATAGGACATATCAGATGTTCAGTACATAGTAACATTCAATGTTACTTAATTTTTGACAAATTCTACCTATAATGAAGATAAATTACTAGACAACAAGAATGAAATGAGTTGTTTTTTACAGTTAAACAATAGGATGTTTGTTTAAATGAATTTTTATAACCTCTCTAATATTGTATGGCCAGACAACAATTTTAAGCATTCTCTCCATTTAGACTTATAAACTTTTATCGGTTTATTATGATTAATTCAATACTCATACATATATTGTACTACAAAAATGTATCAAATATTGTTTCTCCCAAATAAAATTTGACTACATTGTAATAAATGACTTATATACAAAGCGGCTTGCTTGAATATATGGGCTATCTGTTCCTGCCATCTAGATATTTCAACAAGTCATCTGTTTACTTGTCTGTTTTAACAGATCATTATATCAATTAATTGCACAACCTATTCAGCTGCATTTGTGAAAATTTCACGACCTATCGCTGTATAAGTTAGGAAATTGCACAATCAGAGACAGTGTGATTGTTGGCAATATTTATCAAAATGAATGTACATTAATCAGATGTAGATTGACTGAACTGCTAACATCTAATTGATGATCGATCGATATTTAACATGAGGATCGATCAAAAAATAAGAAATGGGAAACTTGTTGAAATACTTCACTCTGAGAACTCTATATTTTTGCAAATATATAATATTTAATAAAGTCACTTATAGTAATAATAAATATATCTAATCTTCACTTTTAAAATCTTCAGGAAAATTAAATCAAAAATGGAGTAACATGGAGTTTGACTTCTACTTCAGGTTTAAAAGAACTATTGAGATTTCATTCAGTTAATTAAAATTAAATAAATGAATACGATATGGTGGAGAAGAATTATAGCTCAGGTGGATGATTTTGATAGATTTTTATTCTCTAAACTGAATGATTTAGTCATGGAACTTTCACTATTCGTCTGAACGACATCATTGGTTCAAATTTCAAATAGGTACATCCAACTGACGAGTCTCAAATAGGACAAAACCCACATCTTGGTTTCCTTGTGTTAGCTATTATCCATCTTTAATATGTATTATGTTCAAAATCATTCTATTTTATACGCTAATTAAAACAAATGAATTATTTTTTTTTTTTCAGTTTTCTAATCAATGTCAATATTCTACTGAATTTAACGAAAGAAAACAAAAAAAAACGCTATTCACGCAATCATTTTTATTTATAACCAATCAAAAGATAGGAAATATAAATTAACAAAGGGGTGGAATAAATATTCATATACAAATAGAAACTACGCCTACTCAATCCTATGTCTTTATTTTTCTTAAATTATCCAATAACAAATAAGATATTTATTACCATAGTTAGTTGCACATGGTGGTGTAGTAAACACAAGCAACAAATGAAACATTAATTCTTTTGCTGTAATTGTTACCCAGGCAACTTCAAGATAGAAAAATAGGGAAAAAAATATAGAAATTTAAAACCAATTCCTAAGACGAAAAAAATCTGAAAATTGATTTTAGATTGTAACAAATTTATTATTATTATTAATGTATACACAGACACACACACGCACGTAAACACACAGAAACACTATTTCATGCATACAAACACAACATCTATTTTTTTGGAATAGATGAGAAAGGAGCAACAAAAGGAAATATATGAGAAAAGAATTTTTTCTCTCTTTGTAATGTACAAAATGAAAAGTAAGAATTAGTGAAATATTTTAAGCCATACATTAATCAGTTGCTTAATGTGAATCATAAACATAATTGGTCATAGGAGTCAACGAAGAAAGTGTATATATTTATATAAGCCTATCTATCTATATATGTATTCGCGTGTGTACACATGTTTAAAATCTATGGTGAACAAGTGCTATTAAACAAATAAACGCATGCATACATACATACAGATAGATGTATAGATAAACACTCACATACATACAAAGAGAAACAAGTCGGTACACATCTCACTTTACAAGAATAAATATTGAAGAAAAAAAAACAACCTGTGCACATAAAAGCATCCGTATACAGAAATATACAACAAACACTACTTGATATATTAACAAATTTTGTTGTAATACTCTCATTTTACATTCCACATTGAACATTAACATCATCATCATCATCATTATCATCGTCATCATCATTATCACCATCCAGTCAGTGTCTTGGTATTATTCATTTATTCAATTTCTAATGTATTATATTACATCTATGTTATATTAGAAAAGCAAGAATTGGAAGACGATATGCGAAATACGAGATAGTGAACAGTTCAACTATTTTTTTTTCTAGTACAAAAAAAAGAGTATTGACTTACCTAAAGCAACAAAAAAAACGTATTAGTGATAAATTAACTAAGAATACGATAAAAGGAAGTAATGTATAGTATAAATGTCAGTAACAACAACGATCAGAATACTACTAATACTATAGTAGATATAAGTAGTACATTATCTGTTCAAATTAATGAATTATATTATGATGGGAAATATCCTAATCTACCGTCTACTGAATACACATCATCATCCTCATCTTCCTCTTCTTCTTCTTCTGCTTCGGGGTCATCGTTATCATCATCAACATCGTTATCCCTGGCAACAGTATCATCAACTTCAGCATTATGTTTTCCTACAACCACCACCACCACCACAACAACAACAACAATAATAAATGAATCCAATTATATTTCATATGCTACTAGCGGTCTTCATCAATCTCGTCAAAGTTTAAATTATACATATGAACACCAATATTATGTAAATGATAATCATGATTACTACCAACAACAACAACAACATCATCATCAATATACACCAATCATTTCAACTGTACATACTACTAATAATAATGATAAAATTAATAGTAGTCTATGCATTCCTACTACTACTAATACAACTACTACTAATGATAGTAATCATAATCATAATGGTTTTTTTAATGAAATACAAATTATATGCATTTGTGAAACATTACAACAACGTGGTGATATTGATCGATTGGAATTATTTTTACAAACTTTACCTAAATGGAATATACAATTACATAATTTAGAATGTATCCAAGTAGCTAAAGCAATGATTGCATTTCATCATGAACAATATACACAATTATATTATATATTAGAAAATTGTAATTTCTCACCTATCTATCATTCTAGATTACAAAATTTATGGTTACGTGCACATTATGCAGAAGAAGAAAAAATTAAAGGTAGAATATTAGGCGCTGTAGCTAAATATCGTATAAGACGTAAATTTCCATTACCTCATACAATATGGGATGGTGAAGAGACAAGTTATTGTTTTAAAGAGAAATCTAGAAATTTATTACGTGAATGGTATCATCAAAATCCCTATCCATCACCACGTGATAAAAGACAATTAGCTGAAATTACTGGTTTAACAATAACTCAAGTATCAAATTGGTTTAAAAATCGTCGACAACGTGATCGTGCTACTGATGTACTTATAACTACGACTACAACAACAACAACAACAACATCAACAACAACAACTGTGACAACTACGACAACAATGTGTAAAACACCAGTTATGTCACCAACATCAGCTAAAACAATGATGACATTGTTACCAACAATTGTATCTATGTCAAATGATTCACCAAATTATCAATTGTCGGCAATAACAACAAATGGAATTAATCAATTAGATATTATCAATGAAAATTTAGATATTTTACCAATGAATGAATTGAATACACAATATAATAAAATAAACAAGTAAGTGATTGTATTTTCTTCATTTATCGAAATTTATTTCTAATGTTTACTTTATGTTAGAATAGGGAATACAGGGAGATGATAGAATCTTCACTGTTTAAATTAGACTAACATGAGAAAACAATACACAATTGACAGTTATCTCGTTTTCATATTACACTAATTAATAGTATCCATCCACAAACATATCTCTGATAATTAAACTAAGGAAATCCCGTCTCCCACATCAACTCTTCACATCTACATTATTAAACTAGCATCAAACCACATACATATCTAATTACAATGAATTCACCAATTCACACAACTATCATACATCATTCGAACTGAATAACTATCTCTCATAATCGATACCCATTGAAGTTAAACTGTCACAAATTCTCACTCGAACTTCATCACTTCCATCTTCACATCATTACTCAATAATCAACACATGAATATTAACAGTATGGTGACGAAATCTATCGAGAGTGTGGACTTTTCATAGTTCCAATCATAACTAGCCACACTATCGTGTTCGTCAAATCTCATTGTCATAAAAGTGAACTGATATATAGAAATTGGACATTGATACTAATTAACTGACTGACTGATTGATTGATCAGTTAGTTAGTTAGTTAACTTACGAGACAATTTTCTTTAATAATTGTATGTTGTGAATTAGTGAAGTGTGTTGAATTATGGATGACTTGTTGATAGACAATTAGTATTTAGTGTATTTGAATTTGAATAATTTTTTTCTGATCTCAATATACACAAACGGAAAAGCAAGATTCTCCGATACAACACAGCATGCACCAATCCAATCACACTTGACGGAGAAGATTTGGACGATGTAAAAGCATTTACATATTTGGGCAGCATCATTGATGAATATGGTGGATCTGATGAATATGTGAAGGCGCGGATCGGCAATGCAAGAGCAGCATATTTACAACTGAAGAACGTCTGGAACTCAAAACAACTCTCAACCAACACCAAGGTCAGGATTTTCAATACAAATGTCAAGACAGTTCTACTGTATGGAGTGGAAAGTTGGAGAACTACGAAAGCCATCATCCAGATGATACAAGTGTTTATTAACAGCTATCTACACAAAATACTTCGGATTCGTTTGCCAGACACTATCAGCAACAACCTACTGTGAGAGAGGATAAACCAGATCCCAGAGGAGGAAGAAATCAGGAAGAAGCGCCAAAAGTGGATAGGACATACATTGTGGAAACCACCAAACTGCGTCACAAGACAAGCCCTCACATGGAATCCTTAAGGCCGAAGGAGGAGAGAAAGACCAAAGAAGACATTACATCGAGAAACGGAGAGAGATATGAGAAGAATGAACAACAGTTGGATAGAACTAGAAAGCAATGCCCAGAACATTGTTGGTTGGAGAATGCTGGTCGGTGACCTGTGCTCCATTAGGAGCAACAGACGTAAGTAAGTAAGTATTTGAATTACGCGGTTTACATGATGGAGTGACTGTAGTTATACAAGCAATATAGATGAGAAATCAATGGATTATTGTTTCGTCTTAACATTATGAGACTTATCAGTGTCACTGTTTCACAGGTTTACTAATGTTTTAAGTTAGTTTTACTACATTCAATGTTAACAAACTAATGAATCATTAAAAATGTTTAAATTAATATCAAATCTTTTACTTCATGCATCCTTAATTGATATATTTCTAGAATAATAATGAACCAACTTCAATTAACTATTCTTTTTAACATACTATCTTGTTAATGATTGAAGTTGACAAATAAAAAGATCGGTTCCAGTTAACATTTGATTCGAACTTACGATTATTCAGTAGTATATATATAATATCCCAATGAGTAGAAAAATTATATTCCTGATGTTTCGTGACTTAATGTAAGTCGTTTCTTCAGAGTGAGAAACAGTGACCTATTTAAATTCAATGAGTGTCGAGTATGATATAGTTATTCAGTTCGGGTGATGTATGATGATTGTGTGAATTGGTGAATTAATTGTAGTTAGATATGTATGTGATTTGATGCCAATTTAATGATGTAGATATTAAGGGTTGGTGTGGGAGACAAGATTTCCTTAGTTTGATTATCAGTGATGTGTTTGTGGATAGATACTACTGATTAGTATAATATGAGAATGAGATAACTGTCAAATATTTATTGTTTTCCCATGGTAGTCTGACTGAACTCAGTTCATTGTTGAAACTTTTAAAATACGGATAGATTATAATGATATTGGAAGTTCATTTAAAGTCCATTTATTTTGTTTATATCCTGGTTTATTTTTTCCCATTATAATAATACTGTCATAATGTAGTAACAAATTTGAACTGTTCTTCAGAATAAGAATGGATATTCTGTGCTTCAGGATGCTATAAGATACTAATGAACTGATATATAATTAGTATCTGTTATCTATGGTCTAAGGATTCATTGTAGATCTTCTGTTGTTCTATGACAATGTATAGTAGAACTGCAGTACCAATTTATGATTATTCATTTAGTTTATTATTCAATAATTGAATCTCTCGTTTTAACATATTTTTAGTACTATTCACTGGAGAATTATTAAACTGTATCATTTTAAGTGATATTTTTCTGTTGTTTTTAATAAGTTTGAAGTCAGTGAGATTGTTGTAATGGATGGCTGTGTCGAATTGAAATCAATGTATTGCACCAAAGATGAATAGTGGTTAGCAAATGGAATCCAGGACGTGAGTTTCGTCCTATTTTGGGGCTCGTCAACTAGATGTACCTGCATCCTAGAGTTTCTGATAGAACAAAATAGGCATTCTGGATTTCATTAATTGCCGCCATCTATCTTTACTTATAATACTTGTGAATTAAGGCAATATCTAGGCAATTCAACACAGGATACATATATACTAATAAGAGACTGATCAACTACAGTCCTAAACATCGATGGGAAGAGTCAAATAATCAATATAAAATGAATTCAATATATTGATTTGAGTGTATCGGTTTACTGTCGATGTTTACATATAGACTTTTATTTGAATTAATAATTCCATGAGTTTATTTTCATTTTCAAAGTTGAATTTTATCGGTTTAGAAACGTTTCTCAAGAGAGTCTTTTTCATGATGAAATAAATTTCATCTACATTACTTACTTACTTACTTACTTACGCCTGTTACTCCAATGGAGTATAGGCTGTCGACCAACAATTCCCGACCCACTCTGTCTTGGGCCTTCCTTACTAGTTCTATCTATTCATCTACATATCTCAGTCAAACAGATTGTCTGAAGGTATCGGGTTAAATAAGCAACATAATATGTAACATAAATGAATTAACAATGAATTAAAGATATTGGAGAATCCATGACCATTCCGTTCATTTGGTTTTATAAAGTTCTTTGGATGATGAATAGTATTGGATTCATACATGGTTTAAGAGATTTCATATTGCAACTAATGCTTAGTGGATATTTACTAGATAGGATATAATCATTCTCCAGTTAATCATTGATAAACTTTAACCATTTATTAATAGGAATATTTGTGTATAAAGATACAACATCGTACTATATCACTGTTTTGTTCTCTTTGATGATTAGATCCGAAATTATCAGAATCTTCAATGGTGTTGTGTAGAGGTTATTTTCAAGTGATTTTAGTATATTACTTAAGTATTTAAATAGAATATATGTTGAAGTGTTTATGAAATCTACTGTTAGTCTCAATGATAAGCCAGATTTACCAATTTGTGGTAATCTATAGAAAATGATTTAAGCTAGACAACGATTGAAAATCTAGTAGCACTGAATAGATGTTTCGTGCGAGATTGAAGGTCCTAAGTTAGAGTCCCACGTGTGGGATCATGAATTCACACCACTGCAGTGTTCTGTACTAGGATGAAACGACCGTCCAGTGACTTCAGGTTTTTGATGATGGTCTAGCTTAAATCGACTCATGAAGTTCACCTGTCTTTGGTTTAACTTTATTTTTAACCAATGGGTACCTGTTTTATAAAATGACTATAGACTGACGTTATCTACAACATTTTCCACATTCAATAGGCATGTGTTGTATCCAACAGTTTTAGTAATCTTTTCATTCATTAAAGCCTTTTTAGTGAAAAGACATTGAGTATTATTGTCTATTTATCACTAACATTTTCATTTCAAACCCCAGTTGCAGTATTTGGAATAGGATACATGTTCTTGAATTTGTAGAGTATTCATTTTTCACTATTCAGTATGTTCAATATTAAGCATTTACAGTCATTTATCCATTCAGCTAATGAGTAAGTAGTGCATTTCAAGCTCTAACTTTCATTTTATTTACATTTTCCATCCAGTAATTTGGTATGCATTTCAGTCTTGTATTCACAGAAGATGTATACCAGTCAGTCAGTCAGCTACAACGTAGAACCAGGTACACATATGCATCGGTCCAACTTACCATACCTCATTAGCACAGCGAGATAAACAACAAATTCATAGAAGTAGTAAATTCAGTGGTGGTAATATATAAAAGAAAGATTGTGTAGAAAAGTGTAAGGTAATTTTGATTTCACGGTATAAGGAATGTAAAGAGTGTATACACCTACACCATTGTGATCGATTATGAGCCATATCACCCACAGTCTCCAACCATTGGTTACGATAGTCAAGCGGACCACAACCAAGTAGTCTGCATCTACCAACATGGCTCAAACTGGAAGTTAGTGACTTCAAGCACTGATGGCTTGTTTTAGTTTGACCACTCCTAACTTTCTTCCAACCATCCCCAACACTATTCAGCATTGCACGTCTTCGTAAATAGGTTTAGATGATTTAAATGAAATCCTCCATGAGAACTATACTTTTATATATAGCTTCCATTCACTAAATGAATGAAAACAAATTTGTACAGACACACTTTTATTGAACATTGGCAAAACAAAGGGATGGATAATCACATACACAGTATTTATAGTACAAATAAGGCTTAAAAAATGAATAAACAATTTTAGACAGCAAGAAAAGCGTTTATAGTTACGTAAGTAT